GTCTTTTCTTTTTCCTTTTATATTTATGTCCAATGTAGATAAAAATCGCCTAAAAGTTAGGAAAATTCTATTGCATAGAATGCCAAGAACAAGAGTGGTAGACGGAAGATTTGGTGGATGTGTGTGTGTGAGTGTATTTATCTTCTTTGAATACGAGACAAGCAGCGCTTCGTTTTAACTGTCACATTCTGCCCCGGAAACCCACGCATGCCTTTGAGGGCTCTCCAAACACATGTGAATCGGTGGCCCTTTGCAAGGCTATTAATTAATAACATCTATTACATGCATGCTCAGGTTAGGCACTGGGCCCAGTGCTTCACATGTATTATTTAATTCTGCAGGGAAGGCACTAACATATCATCTCCATTTAAAATGATGAAATGCAGACTTAGAAAGCTTAAGTTTCTCTAATCGCATACTAGATAAATGGTGTGGCTGAGATGTGGACCTAAGAATTCTACCTCTTTTCTATTAAGATGTGTATTTGCATTCTTTTTAAAAATATATATATTTTATTGATTTTTTTACAGAGAGGAAGGGAGAGGGATAGAGAGTTAGAAACATTGATGAGAGAGAAACATCGATTGGCTGCCTCTTGCACACCCCCTGCTGGAGATATGCCCACAACCAACGTACATGCCCTCGACCGGAATCAAACCTGGGACCTTTCAGTCTGCAGGCCAACGCTCTATCCACTGAGCCAAACCGGCTTCTGCTATTAGCATTCTTGAGAATTAAAATATTTGTGGTTGTCTCTTGATGAAGCATGCTATGGAGACATAAAAATGAAGAAATGTCAGTATTATTTCAAAAGAATATTAAAATGTACGACCATAGTTGTCTAGTAAGGTTTTCTCTGCATGTAGCACACTTACCAGTTACCAAGGGGAAATTAGTCTCTGCAAAATGGAGTAACAAAAACCCGACCTCCCCCTTTTAGGAAAGCCGCCAGGACTCAGTATGCAATGGCTCCATCTCCTCTCCTTGGGGATGACTCTACGTCCGGTTCTACTTCCCAGAGGTTATATTTGACTCTGACATTGGGCATTTTCTAGATGTCACCCAGAGAGTTAGTGGAAAAGGATACGAATCAGGCATGTCACCGCTTCTTTGGAAATATCTGCTCCTTGCTCGGCTACCAATGTTTTCATCTGTCAGGGAGTGTCCCTGCGATTTTCCTGTTTTTGTCGTTGGCCTACAATTCTCAGTTCCCAGAGTGAAGTGCTGACTTCTCATTGGCAACGCGGCCCGCGTTTGAGGGCTAATCTTGTCAGTGAGGGGTGTCTGCTTTTCTCATTGGAAACGGTATTCCTCGTTTCAAGGCGGATTGCTGGAGATGGCCTTGCCAGTCTGTGTGCCAGAGTCGTCATCCGCCCGCTCTACTGCAGGCAGTGGGCTTCAGTGCCCTCGATCAGACTTGCTTTTAAACATCACCTCGTGGAAGGATGTTTTCAAAACGAGGACAGAGGACTACTTCGTTCCGGTGTGCGTGTTGCATTTATCCGATAACTTCTGGATAAGTGTCGCCTAGCGGTGTGGGATACTCCGGGCTGAAACATCGAGTGTTTGATCGGAGCTTGTTGGGTGCCTGACTAGGTGACTGGAGGCCAGTGGGCTCTGGAGAAGAAGCCAGGAAGGGACAGGCCTGAGAATGGGAGCCGGCAAGCAGGGGGACATGAGAAATCTCTCCTGAACGGTGGGAAGTGCAAGGATAGCCATGCCTGCCCCCGGGGTGACAGGGACACCGGGAGTGCCCTTGGTAACTCAGTGCACGTGTCCTTCAAAACACTGGAGGGTGGGGCACGGATGGGAGGGGTGAGTGTGTGTGTGTGTGGGAGCAATGGTAAGATGTGTACACATACAATACCTTAATAAAAAAAAAAAGTGGGGGGGGGGGCGAGTCTTTCACAAACCTTTACACCAAATGAATGTTTCCCCAGGAGCCCAGGCCAAGAATGAGAAAGAAAGCCCGTTGTGAGTGGTCACGCCCAGCTGTTCTCCGCACAGCACAGGGGGGCACCCAGGGCAGAGGTCCCAGCACAGCTGTGGCTGTGGGCTGACGTCACCATCTGGGCCGCGCCTGCGCACTGGGCTGTGTACTAGAGCAGCAAAGAGCCCACTCCCCATCTGGTCCAGCTTCTCCGTCCCTCCCCTCTCCTCCCCTCCCCTCCCATCTCTGTCTGTCTGTCCTCCCTTCGCCCACTAGCAATGGCAAGCTTCCGCCTAGAAGCTCTTCTGTTTTCTAGTTCTGATGTGAGCATTTGGATGGGCTAGGAGTCATGCTATTCCCCCTACCCACCGCCCCAAATTCTGGAATTCTAAGGGAATTAAGGAAAAAGGCTGCGTTTGTCTGACTAGAACGTTATTTGATACCCTCACTGACTGCTTCCAAAATATTTTTCTGTTGCCGACTTTCCCAGAGTTCTAATAGAATTCCCACCAAAGAGGCTGTGGTCCATCCTTTCGCTGTGCACCGTGTAGAGTTAGGTAGCAGTAGTTAAGTTGGGTTTACTCCTTTGCCTCCAGTGGGCCTTCTTGAATCATTATTTCTCAGATAAATAATCAGCGCAGTAAAAGGACAAGTGAATATTGAAGATGTTCTATAGTAATCGACAGAGCCCTTATCTGTTCTGAAACTTTAAGAGAAAAAAATAACTTCTAAAGTTTCTTCCCAAAGAATGAGTTGTCAGTGATATTTCATGTAATGGCCTCTATAATCTGCCTCCAGCTATAATCTCTCTCTACACACACACACACACACACACACACACACGCTCATGCACACACATACAGACACAGACACAGACACAGACACAGACACACCCGTGTTCAGAGCAGCATTGTTCACAGACACCAGAAGGCAGAAGCAACCCTCGTGTCCACTGAGGGGTGACTTGGTTAGCATAAGGTAGTGTGTGCCTGCAATAGCGTTTCACCCAGCTTACAAGAAGCAGGGCATTCTGATACATGCTAGGACATGGAGGACATTCCGGACAGTGAAGCGAGCCAGTCGCAAAAGGACAAGTGCTGTAGTATTCCTCTTATAGGACATACCTAGAGTAGTCAGATGCATAGATAGTGGGCTGGTGGTGGTCAGAACTGAGGAGAAGGGGCAATGATGAGGTGCCATTTAACTTGTCGGGCATTTCCATTTAGGATGGATGGCGGTGATGATTGCACAACAATGTGCATGTACTAATGCCACAGAACTGCACACTTAGAAGTGGTTAAAATACTAAATTTTATGTCTATTTTCCCAAACTTAAAAACCCCCACTCCAGATGTAAACTGACCAACTGCCTTTCATTGGGCTCTTAGGTACCACTCGGTCTTGCTGCTCGTGTTGTGTGTGTGTGTGTGTGTGTGTGTGTGTGTGTGTCTTTCTTGTCTTCTCAGTTAGACAAGGAACTGCCTAGGGAGAGGCTCCCTCTTGCCCCTCGCTTCCTGGCACCAGAGGCAGCTGAATGGGAGGGGTGGGGGCGGGGAGGCACACAGAATCAGAATCCAAACTTCTTACGACAATCCAGTCCTCTACCCCTTATGGCGGTGTGCCATGAACAAGTTATCCTCTCTGCTGGTTGCCTGATGTACATTTAGAAATTAGATTCTCACAGGATTTGAGATGATATAATGTGTTGGGAGCCCCAGACTGTGCCAGTCATCAAATAGTAGTTTCTTGTTGCTGTTGTTTTTAAATATGTTATTAATTTCAGAGAGGAAGGGTGAGGGAGAGAGAGATGGACACATCAATGATGAGAGAGAATCATTGATTGGCTGCCTCCTGCAGGCCCCACGTGGGGGATCCAGCCCACAACCCGTGCAAGTGCCCTGACCAAGAATCGAACCGTGACTTCCTCATTCATAGGTGGATGTTCAACCACTGAGCCACATGGGCTGGGCAGCAGTTTCTTGTTTTTAATGTTAGTTCCTTTCCCCTTCAGGAAATATTTGTGTGTTTATTTGAATTGTAAGGGTTCTCTTTAAGGGAACACCATTCTTGCTATTATTTCAATGTGGCCCATTTTACCTCTGAAAGAAGACTGATACGGGACATGTGACTGGTTTTTCTACGGCCACATGGTGTATTCCTAAGAAAACAGTCTACATCTTGCCAGAAATTCATCCCTGGAGCTGGCCAAATCCACATTACTTAGGTAGCATAATCATGGATCTAAACTGTCATTTTCTCTACCCTAAAACCATCATTTTCCTTCCACAACTCTTAAAATATGTATTCCTTACAAAAAGAGATTAATTTAACAGATTCTACAGTCCCCATTTTCTGCTATCCCACTTATCTGTGTTTACCATCAGTGAGAGAAGGCTGGAAAAGTCCAAAGTCAAACTTTCCGAGAAATGAGATCTTTCAGGCTTTTTACAGTGAGTGGGAGCACGTATTTGTGCGTGGAGTTCTGCAATGTACTGTTGGTAATTCTGGTCTTGGTAGTGGTAAAGAGTAGGATGTTCTGATTTTAAGTTATGTTTATCAAATAATTACTTTGCCTTTTTAAAACTATTAACCTTTCAGTATATTATTATTGTCATATTACATTATATTAGATAGCTTTTAAAATGCATTTTTTCCTAAAGTTTGTATGCGATGGTGATTTGTTTTCAACATGGTCTAATATTTTGTTGTTTATTGCTGTATTTTTAAAAATAAGTTGAAATCAGTTCAAATGAAGTAGAAGGTAAATCCATTTGTTCTCCTTTGTGGTCTTCCCTGCCCCTTCTGTGTCTTGGCTTCTCCCTACTGGCTGGCTGTCCTCAGAGACACCTGGCCAATCAGAGCTGCCTCTCCTTATGGGCCCTCCATTGATTGGTCACCATGGAAAAGGGTGATCTGCACTGGGAACTTGGCTCTTTTTCACTGGTGAATTCTGTTCTATTAGGTTTGAAGTCTGGTCACCCAAGAACTGAGATATCCCAGCTGTGTGTGAAGGTTATGAATTTAGGACATTGAACAAGTCAATGTCATCTTTCTCTTTGTTCATCTCCAGTCACTGCTTCAACCACTTGTGAGGAATTAGAAAAAGCCAGGAATGAGTTGCAAGCAGCTTATGAAGGATTTGTCCAGAAGCTGAACCAGCAGCACCAGACGGATCTAACCGAGCTAGAGAATCGGCTCAAAGAGTTCTACACCGAGGAGTGTGAGAAGCTCCAGAACATTTACATCGAAGAAGCAGAGAAGTACAAAACTCAGCTGCAAGAGCAGGTCTGTGCTTCAGGAACCAGTGTGTCCTTGGCTCTGTACTTGAATTCTAACCCACTTCCTTTATGAACTTGTCTTTGTTGAACATCCCTTTTTATTTATTTAAAAATGTGAAAAGGGTTTATATAGATTTTAGAGAGGAAGGGAGAGGGAGAGAGAAACATCAGTGATGAGAGAGAATCATTGATTGGCTGCCTCCTGCATGCCCCCTATTGGGGATTGAGCCTGAGACCCAGGCATGTGCCCTCGACAGGAATTGAACCTGGGACCCTTCAGTCCACACACTGATGCTCTATCCACTGAGCCAAACCAGCTAGGGCAAAAAGGGTTTCTAAATTAATTTTTTTTCTTATGATGAAAGCAATGTACACGTGTTGAACGAAAGGGAAGGTTAAAAATAAAATTAAAATAACCCTTTATCTTATTACCTAGGAATAATCCCTTAATGACCATTCTGTTGTTGTGCTGCTAAACTTTGGTTTGAATTTTTTAAAAAATGGCCCTTGTTTAATAACCCATAATTTTCACCTATTGGTATATTATTAATAGAAGCTGCTCTTCTATTTCCTTGTTCCCTTTTTAAATCAACTTAACAGTTTGCAAGTATTTATTTGGAGTTCCTTCTATATGCCATGTGCTAGGGACTGGGGATAGAGAGGCCCCTGTGGCAGGGGTGGAGCCACTGTGTCCTGTCACCGGGACACGCCCCCTCACTCCTGGTGATGGATTCGCCATGTCCATCAGTGCACCCTGACAAGCTGTGTGTCTGATCCTGGGTGGGATGGAATGGAGGCCGGAGAGTGGCAAATATCAAATGGGGTTGGTCTTGACATGCGTTAGGTAGGCCTTCAACTTGAATTCAAGTTTATGAGTCAAGTTTCCTACTGATGCCGAAACCAGTTTGGCTCAGTGGTAGAGCATCGATCTGCAGACTGAAAGGTCCCAGGTTTGATTCCAGTCAAGGGCATGTACATTGGTTGCGGGCACATCCCTACTAGGGGGTGTGCAAGAGGCAGCTGGTCGATGTTTCTCTCTCATTGACATTTCTAGCTCTCTATCTCTCTCCCTTCCTCCTCTCTGTAAAATATCAATAAAATATATTAAATAAATAAATAAATAAATAAAGTTTCCTACTGTTTGTTGATACTTACTGTTCAACTTAGGACTTCTGATTTTACTGGTAAACTATTTTGTTGTTTTTTTGTTTTGTTTTTTCTCTCATAGTTTGACAACTTGAGTGCTGCCCATGAAACCTCGAAGTTGGAAATTGAAGCTAGCCACTCTGACGAAGTAGAATTACTAAAGAAGGCCTATGAAAACTCCCTTTCAGGCAAGAATGCTCGTTTTCAATTTAAATAGAATATGATCTAATGGGACAGCATGATGTGTTTTAAAGTGGAAATGATTCACCGCTTCCTCCTCTGCGACTTTTCAGTTTGGGGTGTATGGCCTTTTTTTTTTTTTTTTTTTTTTTTTTTTTTTTTTTTTTTGCATTGTTCATTGTTAGCCATGTCCTTTCCCTCATAACAAACAAATAATAGTTTGTTATAAATGACAGCATTTTGGGAAGTAGGCAGGCTTCTGAAGAACTTAAAGGCCTTTTAGGAAAGTTGTTTTTGACCTCCTTAAGCTCTGGGCCATGGAGGTGTGCGTTCATGTCCTGGCCATGGAATGGGGTCCATGCTGGGCAGCCCTCCTGCTCCCCAACATGCCTACCCACTGACACCCCTGTGAAAGGGAGAGGGCACTCGTTGAATGAAAAAAGAATTTTTATTATGTCACCATGCCGGGGAGGGTGTAAGTGGGAGGAAAAGAATAAGAAGCTGTTTTTTTCAGGACAGAGCTGGCCGTGCAGCCCAAGTTGTTACACTAAACTCACTGTGTCCTACAGAGCAGCGTGTGGAGGGGTGGGAAGAACTGGCTGTGAGGCCTTCAGCAAAGGCCTTTTCATCAGGAAACACAGCCTGGCCGGTGTGGCTCACTGGCTGAGCACTGACCCCTGAAACTGGAGGTCATAGTTTGATTTCCAGTAAGGGCAAATGCTCGGGTTGCAGTCTCAACTCCCAGTAGGGGGCCTGCAAGAGGGAGCCGATCAGTGATTCTCTCTCATCATCAATGTATCTCTCTCTATCTCTCTCTCTCTCTCTCTCTATCTATCTCTCTCCCCCACCCCCTTCCTCTGAAGTCAATGAAAACATATTTTAAAAATTTAGAAAATAGAGTCGTTGTGTGAAGTCCAAGATGAGAATATGTGAAAGTGACCTGCCCAGGGTAGACATTTAGTAAACATTGTTTTCCTTCCTTCCTCCTAGAAATGGGTTTAATTTCTGTCTGGTTCATGAAATGCAAATGGAGAACACAGGAGCTCCAGGGCGGGGGGCTGCAGGCCAGGGTTCGAGGCCCGTCCCTGAGAGTCTGCTCTGTGTCCCCTACGCGCTCCTGGCCCCTGTGGACCTCAGTGGTCGCAGTAATAAACTGGGACTATGCGTCTTTCTCGCCTCACAGGGCTGACCCGAGAACAGGTTAATTTATATAAAAGCATCGCACAAATATGAAGCAGCAGCCATATTGCTTTGCCACCAACTCTTAAGAGTAGGTACTTAACTACTACAGAACGCAGTGACCTCATAGGCCATTAAAAATATCACTTCTTTCTAGAAATCAAGAAAAGCCATGAATTAGAAAAGAAATCACTCGAGGATTTGCTTTCTGAGAAGCAGGAATCCCTAGAGGTGGGTACATTTCAGTACAAAAAAAGAATAATAATCTTGAGCTCTGGGGTGTGCGGGTTCGGGTATGTTTCTGCGCACATTCTGCTGTGGTTCCGGTGTCTGTGTGCCAACTCATGTCCCACGTTTCATTGTTTGTGTTTCAGAAACAAATCACTGATCTGAAGAGTGAAAATGAGGCTTTGAATGAAAAGCTGAAATCAGAAGAACAAAAAAGACTCTCAAGAGAGAAAGCGAATTCAGTAAGTTGCGTGATCCTCCATCACTATAGAGTTCTCCCCCTCCTTAGCCATGAGTCAGGCCTGGTCGGTGTGGCTGTATTTGCCCTTACTGGAAATCAAATTTTCTTAAAGGGGTCATGTTCAGCAGCAGAGAAATGGCAGAGTCTGGGGCCCTCCTCAGCTCCTGAGCTGTGCTGTTTAAACTGTATGGAACTGCTTCTGTGCTTAGTGGTGTGTTTTTAAAATCTTAAACACTGGCATGCAGCCCTAACCGGTTTGGCTCAGTGAATAGAGTGTCCACCTGTGGACTCAAGGGTCTCAGGTTCAATTCCTGTCAAGGGCATGTACCTTGGTTGCAGGCACATACCAAATAGGGAGTGTGCAGGGAGCAGCTGATTGATGTTTCTCTCTCATCGATGTTTCTGACTCTCTATCCCTCTCTCATCCTCTCTGTAAAAAATAAATAAAATATATTTTAAAATAAACACTGGCATGCGGATGAAGCCCAGGAGACAGAGTGTCCTCCCCACATGTATACGCCGCGTTTATTAAAATAAATTTCATTTTTGTTGAACAGCTACCAGCTGTTAAAGTGAGTATACATGTTGGGGGGATACCCTATATATATTGCAAGTGGTCTAAGCTAATACCTACAGCAAGACAAGAAAAGTATCAGTTTAGGGTCAGGCTTTTGTTTGAAGTCTTCACTTTTTTTTTTTTTTTTTTTTTTAAACTGGCTGCTATATCGAGACATAATTTATATGCCCATAAAATGTGGCATTTGGTGGTCACCAAGTTGTGTGAGGGTCACCAGTTATCTAATTCCAGAACATTTGCATCACCCCTAACGAGCCTCGTACTCGTTAGCAGTCACCCCCTGTCTCCCCACAAAGCCCCAGGGAGTCGCCAGGCTACTTCCTGTCTGTGTGGCCTTGCCTCTGCACTTAAACGGAATCGTGTCCGTGGCCTTCATCTGGCTTCTTCCACGGAGCGTACATTCTCGGCGTCCGTGCGTGGTACAGCAGGTGTCGGCACTCCGTGCCTTTCCTTGGCCGCCCAGTATTTCACTGTATGATCGCTCCTCCCTTTTGAAAAGGGCCAATTTCTCTCGCAAGCTCAACGTGCTCTTGTACCTTGTCCTCTCGCTCCCCTGCCTCACTCCTTTTTTTTTCTTTGGAGAAAAAGAAAAAGTTGACTGCTTGTGCTTTGAGAACCGCTGTCCATAGCCTGGTGTCCTGAGACTGGAAGCTAAGCTTTTTGCCTCGTGAACTCTGCTGCCAGCTCAGGAGTCCTTGTGGGAGGGGGAGGGGGGGGGGTCCCACTGACCATTTGTGTCATGCATTTTGGATGGCTCACCTGAATTTCCGTACGTAAACAAGGAGTCGGGGATCTCCCCTGGACTGAGGCTCTAAGAAGGAGTCCCCCTCACGGAGGGTGTATTTGGTAGGCTTTTGGTAGTACCTGTGCTATGTGCCGTGCAGGTGTTGGCTGACACAAAATAAAATGACGAGGCGTCACAGATGCCCGGACGGCCAGGCCAGCGCAGTCCCATCACGCTAAAAATCCCAAAGGCGCAGGATGTATCGGCATCCCTGTGGGTTTCCAGAGAGCCCTACTTTTGCACCGTCTTTTCATTCCTGCTCATTTCCAGATATGAAATGTTTTATGTCCTCCTTATAACCCACGGCTGTGAGGTCAACGTTAGCCTAACCATTCCTTTCACCTCTTTTCTTTGAGACAAACAAGGTAAGGAGGTAGAAGCTTGCTGCCGCTTTGTCTAATTCCTAGGTCTAATCAGATAATTTTTTTTTTTAAATTAATAATTGGCACAGTGGGATTGCACTTACCGACCTGCTGTGTCTTTCCCAGAAAAACCCGCAGATCATGTACCTGGAGCAGGAGCTGGAGAGCCTGAAGGCCGTGCTGGAGATCAAGAACGAGAAGCTGCACCAGCAGGACGTGAAGCTGATGAAGATGGAGAAACTGGTATGTTTCCGTCAGCGCCTCCCCAGAGGGCCTGGCGCTGGGAAGTGGAGATCGGGCTGGGACCTAGCATTGGGGGCTGTTGTAGCGGCTCCTGGAGCTACTGGGAAGCATATCGCAGGCAAAGAGGTTTCCCTTCCGTTTCTGTGCCTGCTCCAGGCTGGCCATGGCTGCCTTCTGCAACACTTTCTTCTTCCTTCTTTCTTCTTCCTCCTCCTCCTTCCTCCCCCCTCCTCCTCCTTTTTCCTTCTTTCTCCTTTCTCCTCCTCCTCCTCCTCCTTCCTTTTCTCCCTCCTTCTCCCTTCCTCTTCCAAACAGGTAAAGCAGCATGGAGTCCTTGGAAAACACACAACGAACGAACAGCTCCTCCTTCAGGGGTCTGTGTGTCTTGCCCTGCTCGGGGAGGCTTTTCAAATCATGTCACATCAGTACTTTGATATTTCTCCACCTCTGGGCAGGTTTCGGATGCCCCAAAAAGTTAGACATGGGAGGTGGTCCCAGTGGAGCAATTGAATCTGGCTACCGAAGTTCTTCGTCTTGCTTCTTGTGAATTAGAACGGGCTAACCACTGTACTTCAATAAGACGAATCCAGTGGGATAAATAGCACACACTGTGAAGGCTGTGAGTGCAATTTAGTTTGTGGCTCTTGGACAGAGAACGGATGTCCAAGTCCCATTGGAGCCATAATCCACATAGAGAAGTCGTATAATGTCAGGGACTCAGAATTAACTGTGACGGAGCTGTGATGTCATCTCCTAAGCCAGTGGTTGGCAAACTCATCAGTCCACAGAGCCAAATATCAACAGTACAACGATTGACATTTCTTTGGAGAGCTAAATTTTTTTTAAACCTAAGCTTCTTCTAAGGCCACTTCGAAATAGACTCGCCCAGGCTGTGGTGTTTGTGGAAGAGCCACATTCAAGGGGCCAAAGAGCTGCGTGTGGCTCGCAAGCCACAATCTGCCGACCACGGTCCTAAGCGAGTAACAAAATCTTACCTTTAGAAAGCACTCTGGGGTATAATCAGCTCCTCAGCAGGTGAAATGCCTTCTGGGATTTTATCCTTTAATCTCCCAACCAATCAATGTGTCTTCCTTGAAAGTGTAGCCGGAGCAGGCCAGCAAGGAGGCCAATGTGCCTTCAACTGAGCTGACGGGGAGGCGCTCTGTGTTGGCTTCTCCGTTGTACGCTCGTTTTGTAAATTGCTGCTTTGTGGGGCCTCTGAGAGGTAAATGGATGCTGAGGAGGAGCTAGGAAACCACGTTTCAGGCCACACAGAACATCACCCAGAGCGGGACTAGTTGTTGCCCTTAGAGTTTTCATCAAACGTGAGAATTTATTTTTTGCAAGACGGACCATAAGGGCACCACATGCAGGCCTATGTCTGGCGGCTGCTTTTGTTTTACCACCTTGAATCCAAGAGGCACAGCCCCATGGTTTCCCAGGTCAGGACCCCAGTTTTTTGGGAGGTTGGGGGAACCTCTAAAATGGTGTGACACCCTTGTGTTCATTGTTCAAGTGGTTCTTGAAATCTCACAATACATTTTTTTTTTTTAAATACCTAGATCAAGCATGTCAAACTCGTGGCAGGTGGGCTGCATGCCTCGTTTATAATAAACTAGAGGCCCAGTGCATGAAATTCGTGCATGGGGGGTGGGGTCCCGTCAGCCCAGCCTGCACCCTCTCCAATCTGGGATCCCTTGGGGGATGTCTGACTGCTGGTTGAGGCCCGATCCTCGGGGATTTGGCCTAAACCGGCAGTCGGACATCCCTCTCACAATCCTGGACCACTACCTCATAATCACTCACCTGGTCACCACATACTGCCCCCCTTTGCTGGTCTGGTTTCCCCTAACTGCCCCCCTGCTGGCCTAGTCACCCTTCACTGCCCCCCTGCCAGCCTAATCTTCCCCAACTGCCCCCCCCCCCCACCATCCTGGTTGCCTCCAACTGCACCCCTCCCCCACTGGCCTGGTTGCCCCCAACTGTCCCCAAACCCCCTTGCCAGCCTGTCATTCCACATAGCCTGCTTTTCAGTCATTTGGTCACCCCTCACTAACCCCCCTGCTGGCCAGGTCATAGGCAGCCATCTTGTGAGGGCATGAGGGTCAATTTGCATATTACCTTTTTATTATATAGGAGGATGAGGCAGGCAGCCCACCAGCCACAAGTTTAATAGCTTGACCCAGATGCTCTGCTTTGGATTCTATTTTGCAGTGTGTCTGTGGACAGGTATTTCACTATACAGTTAAACTTGCCTCAATTAGATCCCTCCAGGAATGTGCCGCGGGAAACGAGGGCTTTGTTCCGCTGTTTCTAATGTCTACCCGTTGGCATGCTTGTTCGCCCCCAGGAGGACAACAACACCACGCTGGTGGACAAGCTGAAGCGCTGCCAGCAGGAGAACGAGGAGTTAAAAGCTCGGATAGACAAGCACGTTGCAATTTCAAGGTAAAGAGAAAACGTCCAGTTGTTCCCATCTCCCCCTTCCTCCTACGTTTAGTGTCACTGGACCTCACTCCCCACCCCCAGACGGCTCCTGGGAGCAGATCGCAGAGGGTGGGGGAGCAGGGTGTGGCGGTGGCCCTTCCCGGCCTGACCGTGGGGCCTGGGCTGGCGCTGAGACCTAAGCAGCCAGCCTCCCCCCAGAGCCCCCGGCGGAGTGACGCCGAGATGCCTTCAGAGAAAGAGCATCACGGGACCCATGGGGAACCGCCCCACACGGATAGTCACGTGACATCCAGATGATCTGTGGGAGCGTCACGGAGCCTCCTGTGACATGGGCCCGAAGGGCGGCTCTCCCTTTGGCTCCCACGTCCTGGGTTTCTCAGGCAGCCAGCACCCATGCCCAGCGGTCATTTTCTGGACTCTCAAATTAAAAAAGGCAAGAAAACATTTTTTTCAAGTCCATTATTTTTTTAGAAATCCATGTCTGGCTGGTGTGGCTTGGTGGTTGAGCATTGACCTATCCATCAGGAGGTCATGGTTCGAATCCTGGTTGGGGCACATGCCTGGGTTGCAGGTTTGATCCCCCGTAGGGGGCGTGCAGGAGGCAGCCTGTCAAAGACTCGCATCATTGATGTTTCTCTCTCTCTCTCTCTCTCTCTCTCTCTCTCTCTCTCTCTCTCTCTCTCTCTCTCTTTCTCCCTCTCCCTTCTTTGAAATCAATAACAACAAAGATCCATGTGGTTCCCGGCTCTTTTGTCTTTCAGGCAACTGTCCAACGAGCAGGCCACCCTGCAGGAGTGGCTGGAGAAGGAGTCCAAAGTCAACAAGCGCCTGTCCATGGAGAATGAGGAGCTGCTGTGGAAGCTGCACAACGGGGACCTGTGCGGCTCCGACAGGTCCCCCACGTCCCCCGCCATCCCCTTCCAGTCGCCGCGGAACTCCGGCTCCTTCCCCAGCCCCAGCGTGTCGCCCAGATGACGCCTCTGCCGGCGGAAGACTGTCTGGGAGCACCGCCACGGGGTCCACCCTCCCCGCGGCCGAGGGGTCAGGAGCCACGTGGGCCCACGTGTCATTGCCGCCCGGAACCGCACAGTCCAGGCCCGGCCTTGGCTCCCAAGAGCCCGGCGCCCAGGGGCACGCAGCTCTCTGGCCAGGAGGCTCCGTCCTCCCCAAAGGATTTCGGAACCGGCCTGCACGGATGTTTGCACAAAGCACTTAAAGAACATTGCCTTTCTACGTGAGCATAAGGGGGAAAACTCTCAGGGGCCTCTTACGATAAAGATTTATAACCTTTCTCATGTTCTCTGCCGCAGGCACCTTCTTGTGATTTTTATCGGGGGGGGGGGGGTGAATAAAAGGGATGTAGCGTGTGTCCTGTGTCTGATGCCGCCTCCTTCGCTGTGCACGGCAAGCCGCCAGCCGCGTGTGTCTGGGCCTGCGCTCGCCGGCTACGTCGGTGTATGCGTCTCTGCAAAAAGCCATAGAAGGAAGAGCGGTCGCTGCTTGAGTGATGGCTCCCTCTGCCCCCAACTCCGCTCCGCCCTCTGGCACAGGGTGGGGTGGGGTGGGGTGGGAGGTGACAGAAAGTGTTTCGACAGACTGGTCTGCGTCTGTATCCTTTGGAGTCTCTCGGCATCCTTTCCGTGTTCAGCCATGTCAGTTAAAACCAACTATGATAGATATATCTGTGTGTTTTTTTTCTGTAGAGTTTTCACGTTTCCACGTGAACCTAACATTTTGCTACGATCCATTTTCTCAGGCCACGAGCAGACGTAAAACCCAAATTTTTCTAAAGTTCTGCAGGAAGAAGAGGGGCGGTCGCCGTGGATCGCTCCTCCCTCCCGTGTACCGTGACCTAAGCTGTCTTCAGCGATGTCCGCTGCCGTCTGCTCCCCTCCTCTTCGCTTTCCTGCCTGCCCTCCCCTAGCGAGAGCCTCAAAAGCAACCCTCCTACCTCCTTCCTACTGCGCTCTGGGACAAGGATGGTGGCACTGACATCACCATGCTTCTCCAGAGCCAGCTCATCCTCAAGGTGCTGCCTCCGCTCCCCACACAAGCCACAGCCTGGGTCTGACAGGACAAGCTCTGGGAGACCCTGGAAGGAACCAAGAACGAGTCAGTCATTCTCACAGGACTGAGGAAGGCGGACTCCGTGTGTCTCGATGGACAGGGCTACCTTGGTGCAACCAGCGATGCAGCATCTCATAGAAAATAACGCCACGTTCCCGTGGGGATTCCCTGAGGAATCCTCCTGCCTCTCGCAAGGCAGAACGGCCAGCTTACAAGTAGGCAGTGTGGCTTTTTCTCCTCGTAGGACTCTCCTCCGGTTGCATTTCATTTTCTCTCCCAAACGTCACTTATGACACCCCCCAGTTCTCATTCTTTGGGGGAGGGAAAGGAAGCACTGGAAGGAAGCACCGTGGCTTCTCCCGCCCCCGCCCCCGCCCCCGCCCCCTCATGTGTCAACACGGTGATGTCAGTGTTTACTAACCTGCATCGCTGACATTTGATGGCTAGACAGATAGCCCAACCCTCGTAAGAGCAGGTCCAGATGCCAGAGGCAGGTATCTGAGTCATCGTTACATGTACACTACCTAGCAAATTAATATTCATGATGCATGGTATTGTCTTTCTTTTCTAATTATCAGTGATTGAATCTGAAGTCTAAGCTTCACTAGTGCATTATGTATGTAACCTTCTGACAAACGGGAACCGGCCCGCGGCCACCTTCCGAGGTCTCCCTCTGCTTACCCCTTCCAGCTGTGCTGTGTCCTTGGCCGGAGTTGGCTTTGCCATCCGTGCCGCGCATGGCAAATCTCCCGCTGACCTCTGCTCTCCTCCAGGCCCTGTAGGTGTCTGGGGAAGTCAGTCTTACACAGTTAGTATAAAGTGTCTTTCCGAGAATGGGAGACAACGGGAGAGAAGGCAGGAAACCACATGGAGAATATGAAGATTGTCTTCAAACCAAATGTTTCTTGTAGGGTGTACAGTGTCGGCACGTCACACAGTGTCCGATGTGTAAAAACGATCATTGTGCTCCGTTTGTAATGATGCCACATGTATTTTTACCTTGATTAAATAAACAGTGCTGGAATATTTAATACGAGAAGTGCCACCTGTGATGTACTTCACTCTCCCAAGTGCTGCCCAGCGTACAGCCCTCTCACAGCCCAGGCGCTGCGCCTCCTCCTGAGCCGTTCCCAGGAGTCCCCTCTGCAGCCACAGCACTGGCCGTGGGCTGGAACCGGGCTCACGGAGCTAAACTCAGAAGGAAGCTTTTCTTTTCTGAACTCAAAGCTTTGTGCTTTAGAGGAATAACTTTTGACTGTTTTTTTAAGCATGTCCACTCTTTAAGGTGAGAAAACTATGGTCTAAATATTTTTGAAGATGCTTAAAAAAGGTCTAAATGAAGTTGAATTCTCCTTGATCTGCATACTTATTTTATATTGAAAACTAAACTTTTGAAAACACATGCTGTAAATCTTTCTGAATGTACTAATCTAGACCTAGTTACTTCCGAGTGCAGCCTTTTTTTTTCTTCCTTTTTTTTTTTTTTTTTTTTTTTAATAAAAAGCTAGTTTCTATGATTTTTTGGGATACTTTCACATCCTAGTCCATATATAGTTGCTACCTTTGTCGATGCTCATGTATTGCGATTAAAACCAAATGGAAATTAAAGTTGACCCAAACATCACCACCACCGAGTCCTGTCAACCTAGAACACGAGCACTCAGCCCAGTTTTAAATTTATTTTACAAAAACTTGCTCATTTAATAGAGACGATTACATAAAGCTGTTCACATATATGCCCTCTGAGTATAAAAACCAGAAGCGCATATACCGTACGCAAGTAGGTAAGCAATCGAAAGACATGCTTTCTGTCCGAGGAGTGAACACGTCTGTTATCAGACCGGACGACTTCCTGTGTGTGTGGATGTCTAGGTCTTACAAGGCGGGGAACGGGGTTTGGCGCTGGTGGTGTGCACACGTGGGCTGCCCGTCAGTCCATGGCACTTCGTTTTCCAAGTCAGGAGAACGCCACGGCGGTGGCTACTGTGGTCTGTCCTTGGGGGTTCTGGGCCGTGCAGATGTAATAGCCTGCGTCGATGGTCTCCAAGTCCTCCACCGTCAGGACGCTCTGCGAGATCCTGGTGGTGTGGCCCAGGCCCCTGTGGATCAGCCTCCAGGTGTCCTGGATGGTCACCGGCCTTTCGTCCTGTTGAACGACACCCACAGGGATGAAGAGGGGACAACACACTATGCACAGGTCCGAGTCACTCAGCACAGAGCCGAGCTTAGACAAGACCCGTCTGCGAGGCCCATGGGTGCTTTCGCACTATATCATCATGTCATTCTCAAGCAGCATGATTTTCAAAGCACTGTCTAGGATTTCATTACACTATTGACTTCCTCTGCCCTTTTCTTTAGTAAACTTTTTAAATATATATTTTTTAATTTTGTTGATTTTTTACAGAGAGGAAGAAAGAGGGACAGAAAATTAGAAAAATCGATGAGAGAGAATCATCGATCAGCTGCCTCTTGCACATCCCTATTGGGGATGTGCCCACAACCAAGGTATATGCCCTTGACTGGAATCGAACCTGGGACCTTTCAGTCCACAGGCCAATGCTCTATCCACTGACCTAAAGTGGTTTTGGCTTCTTTAGTAAATTTAAAAAATATATATTTGCAGTTATTCCAGAAAGGAGGGGAAGAGGGAGAGAGAGGTAGAAACATCAATGCTGAGAGAGAATCCCTGATCTGCTGCCTCCTACACACCCAACGCTGGGGATCGAGCCCACACTCAGAGCATGTGCCCTGACCGGGATCGAACCATGACTTCCTGGTTCATAGATGGACACTCAACCATGCCGGCTGGCCTCTTTAGTAAATTTCTACAAAAGACGGAGATAACATTTCCCACACTTCTCTGCATTGCCCAGGTTCACCCTCTCTCTCACTGGTTCTTATTTACAGAATTTCCGGTCAAAAAAGGAGCCCAAAGCACTCCCCATGAAAGTGAATAAAAGCTCCCAATTGGGCAGATTTGGGAGAAAGAGAAGGATGGTAAGTCAAACGTGCCGAGGGCTCCAGTGGGAGAGAAGTTGTTCCAGGGATGGATAATGTGACGCTCTCAGTGACGTAACTCCCTATTTCCAGAACGTCCGATGGTCACCTTTGAGAGACTTCATCCACATCCGGTGATAAGAACCTAGTATTTTCTTATCACAGCTTACCAACTGTAATATAGTGTAACTCAGTTCATCCCCCTTCTGCTCGCAAAATAATAATTGGCAATGTAAAAGAAATCTCTAATGAAAATCATTAATGGTTTCTAATTGTGGCAACTGTGTAAAAGCAAGTACCGGCACAAGAAGGCCGGAAATATACCATCCTCCAGGGAGAGTTATTTTCCACCAATCACAGCCCATAGAGCCAGAAGGGTGTTGGCTGCTGAGTCCCTCTCAAGAGGCCAAATCTCTTCTGGCAACAAAGGGACCGTTCCCTGCTGGTAGCAGAGCTGCTGCTATTAGTGAGCAGAGCACGCACAGAGGCTATGTATTGCGATAGTTGCTTTTATGGGAAGTCTATTTTAAAAGTATCTCTGGCCTCATGGCACCTTTTGGACGGGGCCTGTGGGTGTCTGCTCAGAGCTTCTCGCCACGGGCACAGCTTGTGGGCCAGACAGAAAGGAACCAGAGGGAAGTTAGATTGGCCTCTGATTGACCCAGAATTAAGACGGAAGGTTGAGGTTGGGGTGGAGAAAGAGGGAGGCCCGTCCTGTCCCTTTCAAGCCCCTGTTCCTTCTTATTTGAGGATTATGAAGATAAGCCCAGCTGGTGTGGCTCAATGGTTGAGCATCAACCTATGAACCAGGAGGTCACGGTTGGATTTCTGGACAGCCACATGCCTGCGTTGTTGGCTCAATCTCCTGTGTGGCTTGTGTAGGAGGCAGCCAATCAATGATTCTCTCTCATCATTGGTGTTTTTTTCTCTCTCTCTCTCTCTCCCTCTCCTCAAAAATTGATTTAAAAAATATATTAAAAAAGAATTATGAAGAGGAATCACATATGAAGAGGGTACACTGAGTGAATTGCCTGATGAAACCCAGGCAACTTTTAAGAAAAAAATCCCATTTGTAAATATACCAAAACATCTTAAAATAGCGGTCACCCACTGGTGGTCCATGGACCACCGGTGGGTCCGTGAGGTCTGGAAGGTTGGCGACCGCTGTCTTAGAAGACAACCAGCAAGCCCTGGCCCCTCCCACAGTCCCACCCATTTCGTGCACCGCGTAAGTTAAGGTCTCCATCCGTGGCAGGTGGAGGAGAGGGGAGCACACCTGAACTTGAACACCTGGCTGAGTGGAGGTCTTACCTTCTGGCCTGGGTAGATCCACCTGAACTCCACCTCGACGTCAGGCTCCCCGAGGACAGTGCAGAGGACACTGAGGTCGCCCCCGCTGTTCGCTCTGTTTGAAGATGCCAGGATGGTTGTGGATGGAGGGCCGCTGGGAACTGGCATTGAGCAGGAGACAGGGGACGTGAGGTGAAACTCAGGAGTGCAACATGGAAGACAAAGCCACAGGCACATCCTTTTCTTTGGAGAGATGTGTAACCTTTCCGCCTCTCCCCATGAGCACCAGGCCGCCTCCATCCCACCACTTCCGGATTCCTTAAAGCCTCCTCTTTCTCTACCTTGGTGGTCCTAATGGGGTCCGCACCCAGAACTCCACAGGCTCAGCCATTCCCCTTGTGATTAGGGAAGGAGGCTAAAAGGTCTGCCAGGGTTCATCTGAAGGTCATGGTCACAGACAAGGAAGTAGGACATTCTAGAAATAGTGGTGCAATACAGAAGCCATTAAGAACAGCATTCTGGCCAAAACCGGTTTGGCTCAGTGGATAGAGCGTTGGCCTGCGGACTCAAGGGTCCCAGGTTCGATTCCGGTCAAGGGCATGTACCTTGGTTACGGGCACATGCCCAGTGGGGATATCCCTCTCCCTTCTCTGTAAAAAAATCAATAAAATATATTTTAAAAATAATAAAAAGAAAAAAAGAATTGCATTCGGTGCCTTCTAATTTCCATCCATACTTAGGAACAGCAGTGCCTGCTACCGACCAGCTGGAAGCCACTGACATCTAGGCGCCGGTGGGAAACACGCTCACCTTCTGCGTAGAGGAGTTGATACTTGACTGAGATCTGCGACTTGCCCCCAGCCTCCGCCTTGCAGTAGACCACCCCCTGGTGGTCAGAATGAGGCTGCAGGTACACAAAGCCTCTCTTTATGTCGTAAACGATATCGGTTCCATTGGCCGGGATTTCCTTGGCCGGGAACTCCCTGTGGAGCGTGACTTTGGCTGACAAGACGGTCACTCGACAAGGAACCACAGCCTGTCTGTCCGGGTTCAGGTAGACAACGTCAAAGTAACTGGGAGAAGGCACAAAGAGTTCTCCTTTCTCTGCAAAGCAAAGGACACGGGCTTATTTGTTCTGGAGCAGTGGTCGGCAAACTCATGAGTCCACAGAGCCAACTATCAACAGTACAACGGTTGACATTTCTTTGGGGAGCCACATTTTTTAAACTTAAACTTCTTCTAACGCCCCTTCTTCAAAATAGACTCGGCCAGGCCGTGGTATTTTGTGGAAGAGCCACACGCAAGGGGCCAAAGAGCCACATGAGGCTCGCAAGCCGCAGTTTGCTGACCACGGTTCTGGAGGAATAAGGTAGAGAACACTTTATGGATTCTCGACTCCAGGGCACAAAGATGAGAGGGGCCTGACAACATATTCAGAATACTGAGTCCTTGGGAGTAGAGAAAGCTATTTTTACATAATCTTCCCCTTTCTGAAGAACGATGCTATTATTTCCCATCTCCTTAAAGGAAATAAAATAGGTCTTAGTTCAAGCCCAAGTCAGGCCCATGGCTTCCTGAGAAAGCTGGGGAGGAGGCTAATTTCCATAGGATCAGAGCAGCCCAAGACCTGGAAATAACCCGCAGTGTCTCTGGAGAAATCAGCCCTGTGGCCCCGCGCAGGAAGTGCTGCTGGAGGCGGATCCCAGCGCCGCCGCGCTCCCCCCAGAATCCAGCCCAGGGCGCCTCATTCCTGCCACGGCCCGTGGACAGGGAATGGAGAAGAGGCAGATGAGGAGCCTGCTACCACTGACCTCAGGTTCTGAGCTCAGCGTGGCTGTCTCAGGGCTGGGGACCTCCAGACAGTTTCTTATACCCCTGTTCCCTCTGAAGTCACTCTGTGTTTTTTAAGCACAGAAAATGGCATTTTTATCTTACAGAAATGAGGAGAAAATGGCTTTTTTATCTTACAGAAACGAGGACTGGGATGCCCCGACTTTCCTTAGTACAAAGGACCCTGGTTTGATTTATTTTTTGTTTGTTTTTGGCATGGTACGGTAAGTCTTTTGCTTTCTGTACTGTGAGAGGATATTATCCTAATTAAGAGAAATCATTGAACTTAATTATACCCCAACGCTTGTTCAATTGTTTCCCAGGTTTTTCCTGCAATGTTTCTGAAACAGCCAATTATTCTTGGCTCTCTCCTCCACTACCCTTCTTTGTGCGACAGCCCATGCATTCTGTCCCTGCCCCAATGTTTTAGGTCAGGGACAGAATTCCTGGATATATCATCAAATGTCTTCAGGAGCCAAGACTTCTTTGCAACGGTGCCATTACCATGCAGGTCCTCCTCCTCCCCCTCCCCCCACACACTCCCCCGGCTCTGACGGAGGTCAGGAAGAGAATGCCACCGCGCAGAGAGGCCCTGTCTTTCCTGGGCTTTCTATCAGCCTGGGTGGCTCAGGACACCTCATGAGAAACTGACTTTCAGACTTAGGCAAGGGCCATGGGGCTGATTTCTCCAGAGACACTGCGGGTTATTTCCAGGTCTTGGGCTGCTCTGATCCTATGGAAATTAGCCTCCTCCCCAGCTTTCTCAGGAAGAAAGCCATGGGCTTGACTTGGGCTTGAACTAAGACCTATTTTATTTCCCTTAAGGAGATGGGAAATAATAACATCCTTCTTCAGAAAGGGGAAGATTATGTAAAAATAGCTTTCTCTACTCCCAAGGACTCAGTATTCTGAATATGTTGTCAGGCCCCTCTCATCTTTGTGCCCTGGAGTTGAGAATCCATAAAGTGTTCTCTTCCTTATTCCTCCAGAACCGTGGTCAGCAAACTGCGGCTTGCGAGCCTCATGCGGCTCTTCGGCCCCTTGAGTGTGGCTCTTCCACAAAATACCACCTAGCAGTCCTGTGTTCACAAGCAGCAATTCTGCGTGGCCTTCGACATGTCAGCCCCGATTGTAAAGAGAAGAATCCAGAGTAGATAGCATTTAAGAGGTCTTTTTTGGCCGAAACGTTTAAGGAGTTGATGACTGTAAGGTTTAGAAGCAACTTTTTGTTTTAAGGGTTTGTAGAGAAAACTGAAACCAGGGAGCGAAGCCAGCATGATAACCATCGGAATGTCAGAATACAAAAATGTGGTCTTACTTGGACACGCTTTGAAAAGAAGTGACCGCACCAGTTGCTTTAGCAAACAGAAGGAAAAAAAAATTTCCCTTATAATCAGTACATTCCATCTACCCCCAAAAAAGTATGCTAAAGTTCAAAGAATTGTAGGTGACATATGCCCCTTGCAGATATGTTTGCATCTACTCGGGCAGATAAAAATATGACTTTAAGAAAACTAAACACATGAAAATTTTAGATTTCCAAAAGCATTAGTGAATAGGCTGTAAACTAAAACCCAAATGATTACCTGCTCCCTAACAGTGCTCCTTCATGTGGTTTTGCTACATATGAAGCCTGGAGCCCTTCGCCATGAGAAAGGCCTGTTGTCAGGGATGTTCCCCTCTTTGATCGGGTGGCAGTCACGTGTGACTGGAGGGTAATTTATTGAGCTGTGTAGCTATGATGTGTGCATTTTGCTTTGTTATACTTCAATAAAAAGTTAGGGGGTTGGGGGGAAACACATGAGTGCCTCCTGAATAAGATTAAATATAATATGTGACAGTTGCACAAATTAACACAAAAATGGCATAAATTATCAACAATCAAAAGGAAGCTTCTCAGTGTCTGCCATCAAGCTCCGGGGAACACGCGAACAGAATGAATGCCAGACGTTCCTCTGTGTGGGCAGAGGGAAAGCATATGTTCTGAGGGGATCCAGAGCCAGCAGAGGAACGCTCGGCTCTCATCACAGCCCATCCTGGTTTTGCAGACTCACCAGAACTGAGAAGACAAGCTGCCGAACCCTATACTGAAAACCCAACTGGTCTCCTCACTTTGTGTGAGGATTGAAAAAAATGCTACAACACATTGGGTCACATCCTCCCCATCCCCCTTTTTGATTGATTTCGGAGAGGCAGGGGGAGGAGGAGAGAGACAGAAACATCAATGATGAGAGAGAATCATTGATTAGCTGCCTCTTGCATGTCCCCTACTGGGGATGGAGCCCACAACCCGGGCATGTGCCCTGACCAGGAATCGAACTGTGACCTCCTGGTTCATAGGTCAATGCTCAACATAATATTTACGTTGAAATGAATACTAATTTGGGGATGTTCCTTTGATTCACAAAGAGGCTTCCCTGAGTTGAGGGAGAAGACCTGCCTCTAAAACTCAGAGAGAGCCCAGGACCCTAATAGGACATTTTGCTCAAGTGAGGTCTGCAATTCAAAAATCTCAGTTCAGCCGAAACCAGTTTGGCTCAATGGATAGAGCGTCGGCTTGGGGACTGAAGGGACCCGGGTTCGATTCCGGTCAAGGGCATGTACCTTGGTTGCGGGCATATCCCCACTAGGGTGTGTGCAAGAGGCAGCTGATCGATGACTCTCTCTCATCGATGTTTCTAACTCTCTATCCCTCTCCCTTCCTCTCTGTACAAAATCAATAAAATATATATTTAAAAAAAAAATCTCAGTTCAAAAACCAGTGTTTGGGAAGACACAACAGGGCTGACAGAAAAATCTTCCTCCTGTCATGTGAAATGTGCTATCCGCCCTCGTCCACAGAAGAGGCCCTGACGGATCGTCGGTGCCTTTTCCACCGTTACTCCCAGGGCGGTGTGACACTGAGGCACGTGGGCTTTCTGCGCAGCACATTCCAGAATGAGGATCAGAAGGGATGACCTAGGGATGACCTGTGAACGACTGCGAGCCATTCTCCTTGACAACGCCCGCTAGTGCCGGTCTGTCTGCCCATCAACCAGTCACCTGGTCTTCTAAACGGGTCAGGGCAGTAAGGACATTGGATCCCGGTCAGGAACACAGGGCTGGATCTTTACTCGGCCGCTGTAAGCCATGAAACCCCGAACGGGTCACTTTGCCCTCCGAGCTTCAGCGTCCGCGTCACGATTTCTCACACAGAGAGAATAAGCAGGTTCTGCTCACTTCCCCGGGGGCATTTGGAAGTGACCTGAGATCCATGGGCCTCCGGGGCCATGAGAGGCGCTGGCCGGAGAGGCGCTCTCTGGACGGGAAGGGATTATACATGAGCTTTCATTAAAGCAGTCATTAATGGCCAGGGCGTCAGGTCATTTGAGGCATAGGCCTAAGTCACCAAGGTCTGAAAGGCAGATGGATTCAGGAAGTGTACAAAACTCCTGAAAGTGCTTGCCCACGACACTCAGAAAGGATTCTGGCCTGGCTGGCATGGTTCAGTGGTTGAGCATCAACCTATGAACTAAGGAGGTCATGGTTCGATTCCCGGTCAGGTCACAAGCCCGGGTCGATCCCCAGTGTGTGGCGGGCAGGAGGCAGCTGGTCAATGATTCTCTCTCACAGATGTTTCTACCCTGTTTCCCTGAAAATAAGACAGTGTCTTATATTAATTTTTTCTCCCAAAGTTGCGCTAGATTTTATTTTCAGGGGATGTCTTATCTTTCCATGCGCTAGGTCTTATTTTCAGAGGATGTCTTATTTTCGGGGAAACACGGTATCTCTCTCTCTCCCTCCTCCTTCATCTCTGGATTTATTTATTTATTTTTTTTTAAAGGGAAGAATTCTGACTTCATCAGGGGATGGCCTCTGTAAGGCCCTGAAAGCTGCCCCTGACCGCTAGGTCCTGGAGAATCCTATCCCCCTCCTTCAAGAGGAAGGGGGCTGCAATCTCTTGTACAGAGCCTGTTTCTCCAAGTGCAATGCCCCCGGCAACGCCAGACCTAGCACCACGGGGAGGAGAGTTCACTCTACCTGCGCCTTCTCGGGCACCTCGCCTAGGGACTGGGGCTGGAGACTGAAGGACCACCTCCTCTGGGAATCCAGCCTCTCGGCCCTCTGCTCAGCACTCATGAGAACAAATACAGAGAGGCCCCTGGCCAGGCATCCTAGGCCTGTGGGGGTTCTGGAAAGGCCATCGCAGGTATGAGAGCACGTGACTCAAAGGTGACAGCCGGGCTTTCTGCAGTGATGGAGGTGTTCTGTCACGTGTCCACCGGGACAGCCACCAGCCGCACGTGGCAATGGAGCCCGTGAAACATGTAAGGGCCACAGAGAAACTGAGCTTTACATTTTGTTTAAATTTAATTCCCATTTAAACATAAATAGCCAGTGGCTACCATACTGGACAATGTAGGTCCAAACTCTGGAGTCAGACTGTCCTGGGTTCAAATTCTGATAACAGGCATTCCTTGGAGTAGGACCTTCAGGACTTACTTTTACTCTCAACCTCAGCTTTTCCATTGGGAAAAGGAAACGGAAATGGTGTTGGTACTCGCCCTGAAGGGCTGGTGAGAGGCTTACCTGAACGAATTGATGAAAGCACTGAGCCCAGGGAGGGCTCTGACTGTCATTATGGATACTCAGTGCACAGGGGAGCCTTCACCCTGAGCGAGTCCAGGCGTTTGAAGAGTCCACTGAGGCGGCAGCCCTCTTACCCGTGAAAAAGATGTAGGTGGAGCCGGTTCGGGTCTCGTCCTTCGTGCAGACGTAGCCGGTGCAGAGCTGCCCCCAGCAGCTGAACTCGCCCGTGTCGGCCGCGGTGGAGTTGACCAGGGTCAGCTGGCCGTAGCGCTCGTGCTGCTTCACACTGAAACGGGGCAAAGCTGTCACACACTGGCCTTCACTCTGCTCCCTGTTCTCCCTGTTCTCCCATGTAAATACACAAACCCAGGCCCGGGCCTTCACTCTGCTCCCTGTTCTCACATGTAAATACACACACCGGCCTTCACTCTGCTCCCTGTTCTCACATGTAAATACATACACCCTGGCCCTCGCCTCTGCTCCCTGTCCTCACATGTAAATACACATACCAGGTCTTCTCCTCTGCTCCCTGTCCTCACATGTAAATACACACACATGTAAATACACACACTCTGCTCCCTGTTCTCACATATAAATACACACACCTGGACCTTCACTCTGCTTCCTGTTCTCACATGTAAATGCACACACCCGGCCTTCACTCTCTGCTCCCTGTTCTCACATGTAAATACACACCCGGGCCCGGCCTTCACTCTGCTCCCTGTTCTCACATGTAAATACACACACCGGCCTTCACTCTGCTCCCTGTTCTCACATGTAAATACACACACACCCGGGCCTTCACTCTGCTCCCTGTCCTCACATGTAAATACACACACCCGGTCTTCGCCTCTGCTCCCTGTTCTCACATGTATTATAAATACACACACCCAGCCCCGGGCCTTCATTCTGCTTCCTGTTCTAACATGTAAATACACACACCCAGGCCCGGCCTTCACTCTGCTCCCTGTCCTCACATGTAAATACACACACCCGGGCCCGGCCTTCACTCTGCTCCCTCTTCTCACATATGAATGCCCATTGGGTCGGGCAATGTGCCCTCTCTCTGATGGCACAAACTAAAAAAAGTGTGTTTGGGGGAGGTGTGTGTAGAGAGAAGAGGCAGAGACAAGAACTTTCTCTAAAAGGGAATTAAAGCTGAAACCAGTTTGGCTCAGTGGTAGAGCGTCGGCATGGGGACTGAAAGGTTCCAGGTTCGATGCCGGTCAAGGGCATGTACCTTGGTTGCAGGCACATCCCCGGTGGGGGGGGTGCAAGAGACAGCTGGTCGATGTTTCTCTCTCATCAACGTTTCTAGCTCTCTATCTCTCTCCCTTCCTCTCTGTAAAAAATCAATAAAATATATTAAATAAATAAATAAATGGGAATTAAAAACCAACAGTTATGGCCTGGGCTGGTGTGCCTAGTGGTTAGAGTGTCAGCCCTTGTACCAAAGGGTCACAGATTCATTCCTGGTCAAGGGCATGTACCTGGGTTGCAGATTTGATCCCTGGCAACCAATTGATGTGTCTCTCTCACATCGATGTTCCTCTCTCCCATTCATTTCTAAAAAGCAATGGAAACAATAACCTCAAGTGAGGATTTAAAAAGAAGACAGTTTTCTAAAGAGAGGAATTTCTCTTCCATCTCAGAGCTCAAGTTTCCTTAAGTAGAACCACAGGTCCACTGCCTCGTAGCCACGGAAACTCAGCCAGAAAGCCTGGGCACGTGTTTTGCTTTCAGCTTGTGTTGTTAATGAGTTCATTGCAACAACAGTTGAGGTAAAGAAAATACCCAGCATTATCCAATGTGCACAATTTCTTTTATCAGCAAGGACAATTCTCTGAATACAAGCTTGGAATCTTCAAGATGCTGCATTATTGTGTTAAAAATAAAAACTCTGCCTAATTCTCTCAAGATTATGCTAAGTGAAATAAGTCAGATGGAAAAGGACAAAAAAAAAAAAAAAACACAAAAAACTCACCTATGATTTCACTCATATGTGTAATATAAAACAAAAAGTCAAATAAAGGTGGGGGGGTGGAAGGGAAGAGATCAACCAAAGAACTGATATGCACATATGCCTAACCCATGGACTCAGACAATAATGGGGTGAAGGCATGGGGAGGGGGTAGGAGAGAGGAGGAGGAGAGGCCAATGGGGGAACATCTGTAACACTTTAAACAATAAAAATAATTAAAAATGAAAAGTAAAAGAAGAACACACAAAATAAATAAAAACAAACTCATACATACAGCATGTAGGTGGCCAGAGGAGGTAGAGGGAGGGGAAAGAGGAAAGGGGGTCAGATACATGGGAACAGAAGGAAACTAGACTTTAGGTGTTGAGCACACAGATATCAAATTATAATCTCATACGTCTGAAAGTTATACAATGTTGTTAACCAATATTACTCTGATAAATTTAATAAAAAATAAAAGTAAAACCACACACAAAATAAAAATAACAACTATATTTTAGACTTCCAGTCAAGATGAAAGAGTAGGTAAATGCTATGTTCCCTTCCTCCCACAACCACATCAAAATTACAACTAAATTATAGAACAACCATCAATGAGATCCACCTGAAGACTAGCTGAACAGAAGTCCTATAAGTAAGAATAGAGAGAAAAGTCCATCTGAGGCCACTTCTGGGTATTTATCCAAAGAAATACAGAACACTCCTTCGAAAAGATACGTGCACCCCTATGTTCACTGCAGCTTTATCTACAGTAGCCAAGATGCGGAAGCAACCTAAGTGTCCATTGACAGATGAGGGGATAAAGAAGAAATGGTACATATATACAATGGGATATTACTTGGCCATAAAATAGAATAAAATTTTGCCATGTGCAACAACAGGGATGAGTCTAGAGGGTATTATACTAAGTGAAATAAATAAGACAGAGAAAGGCACATAACATACAATTTCACTTACATGGGAAATCTGAAAAAGCAAAGCAACAAACAAACAGGTTAAGAAGTAATTACCAGTTACAAAAATAGTCACAGGATGTGAAGTATAGCTTAGGGAATGTAGTCATTAATATAATAAGTATGTATGATTTTAGATGAGTACTAGACTTATTGGGGTGGATCATTTTGTAAGTTATATAAATGCCTAGTCACTATATTGTACAACTGAAACTATAATAATATTATCAACTGTAATTGAAAAATTTAAAAACAATTTAAAAGAAAAGGGACATTAGGTAATAAAAGAAATCTGAATAAACTGTGAACTTTACTTAATATTGTATCAATATTGTTCATTAATGGGGTTATATACATCATACTAATATAAGATGCCACTAATAGGGGAACTGGGCATAAGGTATTCAGGAATTTTCTATACTACCTCTGTACAGTAATCTTATAAATAAAAAATAGTTTTAAAGTAAAATGTTTATTATAAAAAAAAATGAAAAACCCACCACTTTGCTTTAGGACAAAATTCGTTGCTCAGATGCGAGCCCCAGCTATGCAGCCCACCTCTGGCAAAAGTATCCAGAGCCTGTGAGCATGCACACCTCTCCTTTGCCTCACCCTACTTTTACTTTTATCTCCTGTTTTACCTCTTGTATTTTTATCTTGTCCCTGTAAACATATTTGCAATCCCTCCAGTTCCACTTCAAACTGAAGAGAGTCCTAAATAAATATGTATTACTATGAAACACTAGGATTAGCCCGTTTGTCAGTGTGATGCGTTGTGTCAGGAATCCAGATGTGTCACTCTAAGACAGATGTTCCCCCGAGGCTGAGCCTGTACAGATGCCAGAAGAAAGGGTTTAATCGGAGGATGCATCTCAAATAGCCACAAGTTTCACCCCTAGGAGCACCACGTGCTTTTCGGATGCAGTCCAGATTCTCCGGTTGCCTGCAGCAGCCACACCAGTAGAGTCACCCTTTAAATTTAGCTCAGAGCAGAATGCCTGGCCAGCAGGCCTTAAGCACAACCGGTCCGGCTCACCGCTCAAGACCTGTGCCCACCGGCTCTGCCAGGAGGCGCCTCTGCACTCCCACTCCGTCCACGGCCTCCTTCCCACTGGGCGGAAATCTCTCCTCCTCCAGGAAGCTTCTAATTAGAATCGACCCCCAGGGACCTCCCCGCCTTTTCCTAGTGAGGTAACTGGTCCCTTGCTCACCCCGGCTTCCTCTTATTTATAATACAAAGGATGGTGAAAACTTTGAGGGCGGGGGCTGTGCCATCATTGTTTTATATTTCCTAAGCAGTAAATCTGTGCAGGGTACACGGGAAGGATTCCCTAGAAACGAGTGGACTGGAATGGAATCCAATCCAGGCCAGGGTTGTAACTGGGAAGAACCTCGAAAAGCAGACGTCCAGCTCCCAGTATTGCTGGAGAGGAAACTGAGTCTGAGCAGAAGTGATTTCCCTGAGACCCACAGCAGGTCGATGACATGGAGTCTATGACTTCAGTTAATTAAGCATGTAATAAATACTCATTAGATAAGAAAATGCACGTGAAGCACTTCATGGCGTGCGTGGTTCACAGTATTATCCTAATTACAGCCCCATTACCTATAACTGCAGATTAACAGTAGCTATTATGCATACTACCACAACGATGACAAACACACACCCACACACATTGGGCAGTTAGCCCGACAACCAAAAACCAGTGGACCTCAAGGATATTACTATCCAGTTCGGAATTATAACTGATATACATGAAAAAGTCGGAGAATAAGTAAAGAACAACAGGAATTCTGAAAGGGACTCGCCACTGTGGTTTGAAGGCGTTGAGGACGGCCCTGGGTGGAGATAAGACAGCAGGCAGCAAGGAGGCTGAGCAGCAGTGAGCTCACTGGCTCAGGAAAACTCCAGCCCCATAAGGAGTGGGAGGGACCTCTGTCCATTGCCATAGCCCCAGTGCATGGTGGGTAGAAGGCATTCAATGGGGAGGGGTGTCAATCCATTCACTGTGGAAGGAGACAGAGGGAGGGGTTGGGAGTCACGGGACAGAAGGTTGAGAACAGCAGGAAGAGTGCACGTTTCTCTCAGCAGGCAGGAGGGGCCACTCGGTTTGGGAGATGGGAAGTGACGGGCCCACCGTAGCCAGGTCACCAGGGAAGAGAACGGGAGTCTGGAGGCAGGCGGGAGAGGAGAGGCTGAGAGGTCTGTGTCCATGACACTCAGCCATTGCTGGGGCCCCGTTGGGTGTTGCAGTGGCAGTGAAGCAAATGGAAGAAATGTTTTCTTGGGGAAAATTTTTGACAGTCATAGTAAGCAAGGTGGAAGAAGAGAGATATCGATAATGAACACTT